CTCCTCTTCTTCTTCTTCTTCTTCTTCTTCTTCTTCTTCTTCTTCTTCTTCTTCTTCTTCTTCTTCTTCTTCCTCCTCCTCCCTTCCTTCCTTCCTTCCTTCCTTCCTTCCTTCTAGCACTGATGACGTTCCTTAGTTGGGTCATGAGACGTCTGCAAGGAGACCACCCGGCTCACAGAGCACCCGGGACCCCCACAGTCCTTCCTCTTCCTCCTCCTCTTCCTCCATCATCATATTTTGGGACGACCGTCGTCGTGACGCACGCTTTACCACCTCCGTCCTCTCTTTATGTCTTTCCCCCCCCCTCCAGCGCGCTCACCAGCTGCCCGGCCAGCTGAGCCACGAGCACGACGCCCTGATCAGCCTCTCGGCGTACAACGTCAAGCTGGTCTGGCGGGACGGCGAGGACATCATCCTCCGGGTCCCGATCCACGACATCGCCTCGGTCTCCTACATCCGGGACGACTCCTCACACCTGGTGGTGTTGAAAACGGGTAGGTGGTGGAGGTGGTGGGGGGGAACGGCCGTCCTCGGCGTAGGAGCGAAACTGGGGGGCCCTGAAACCAGCCCCTCTGGGGTTGGACTAGATGACCTCCGGGGGAGGGGGACTCCCTTCCGACTCTTGTTCTTCTGTGATTCTGTCCGGGGGCTCCTGCTTGAGCAGGGGGCTGGACTAGATGGCCTCCGAGGCCCCTTCCGACCGGTGTGATGCTGTCCGGGGGCTCCTGCTTGAGCAGGGGGCTGGACTAGATGGCCTCCGAGGCCCCTTCCGACCCTTGTGATGCTGTCAGGGTCTCCTGCCTGAGCAGGGGGCTGGACTAGATGGCCTCTGAGGTCCCTCCCGACTCTGTTATCCCGTGATTCTGAAAGGGTCTCCTGCCTGAGCAGGGGGCTGGACTAGATGGCCTCCGAGGTCCCTTCCCACTCTTGTGATTCTGTCAGGGGCTCCTGCCTGAGCAGGGGGCTGGACTAGATGGCCTCCGAGGTCCCTTTCAGCTCTGCTATTTTATGATTCTGAAAGGGTCTCCTGCCTGAGCAGGGGGCTGGACTAGATGACCTCCGAGGTCCCTTCCAACTCTTGTGATTCTGTCAGGGGCTCCTGCCTGAGCAGGGGGCTGGACTAGATGACCTCTGAGGTCCTTTCCAGCTCTTGTGATTCAGTAAGGATCCCCTGCT